ACCAGGGTGGAGGGTGAGGGGGAGACCAGGGTGGAGGGTGAGGTGGAGAACAGGGTGGAGGGTGAGGTGGAGGACCAGGGTGGAGGGTGAGGGGAGACCAGACCAGGGTGGAGGGTGAGGTTGGAGACCAGGGTGGAGGGTGAGGTGGGCGACCAGGGTGGAGGGTGAGGTGGAAGACCAGGGTGGAGGGTGAGGTGAGACCAGGGTGGAGGGTGAGGTTGGAGACCAGGGTGGAGGGTGAGGTTGGAGACCAGGGTGGAGGGTGAGGTGGAGAACCAGGGTGGAGGGTGGGGTGGAGACAGGGTGGAGGGTGAGGTGGAGACCGGGGTGGGAGGGTGGAGGTGGAGACCCCAGGGTGGAGGGTGAGGGTGGAGGGTGAGGTGGAGACCAGGGTGGGTGAGGTGGAGGTGGAGGGTGAGGTGGAGACCAGGGTGGAGAGGTCGCAGGGTGGAGGGTGAGGTGGAGACCAGGGTGGAGGGTGAGGTGGAGACCAGGGTGGAGGGTGAGGTGGAGACCAAGGGTGGAGGGTGAGGTGGAGACCAGGGTGGAGGGTGGAGGTGAGGTGGAGAACCAGGGTGGAGGGTGAGGTGAGAGGTGGAGGTGAGGTGGAGACCAGGGTGGAGGGTGAGGTGGAGACCAGGGTGGAGGGTGAGGTGGAGACCAGGGTGGAGGTGAGTGAGACCAAGGTGGGGGAGGGTGAGGGGGAGACCAGGGTGGAGGGTGAGGTGGAGACCAGGGTGGAGAATCAGGGTGGAGGGCGAGGTGGAGACCAGGGTGGAGGGTGAGGTGGAGACCGGGTGGAGGGTGAGGTGGAGACCAGGGTGGAGGGGTGAGGGGGGAGACCAGGGTGGAGGGTGAGGTGGAGACCAGGGTGGAGGGTGAGGTGGAGACCAGGGTGGAGGGTGAGGTGGAGACCAGGTGGAGGGTGAGGGGAGACCAGGGTGGAGGGTGAGGTGGAGACCAGGGTGGAGGGTGAGGTGGAGACCAGGTGGAGGGTGAGGTGGAGACCAGGGTGGAGGGTGAGGTGGAGACCAGGGTGGGAGTGGGGGAGGGTTGGAGAACCGGGCAGGTGGAAGACCAGGGTGAGGTGGAGACCAGGGTGAGGTGAGGTGGAGACCAGGGTGGAGGGTGAGGTGGAGAACCAGGGTGGAGGGTGAGGTGGAGACCAGGGTGGAGGGTGGTGAGAAGGTGAGGGTGGAGACAGGGTGGAGGTGGAAGACCAGGGTGGAGGGTGAGGTGGAGAGCCAGGGTGGAGGGGAGGTGGAGGTGAGGTGGAGACCAGGGTGGAGGGTGAGTGGAGAGGGTGAGTGGTGACGGTGGGAGACCAGGGTGGAGGGTGAGGTGGGAGACCAAGGGTGGAGGGTGAGGGGAGACCAGGGTGGAGGGTGAGGTGGAGACCAGGGTGGAGGGTGAGGTGGAGACCAGGGTGGAGGGTGAGGGAGACCAGGGTGGAGGGTGAGGTGGAGACCAGGGTGGAGGGTGAGGTGGAGACCAGGGTGGAGGGTGAGGTGGGTGGAGGGTGAGGTGGAGACCAGGGTGGAGGTGGAGGGTGAGGTGGAGACCAGGGTGGAGGGTGAGGTGGTAGGAGACCAGGGTGGAGGGTGGAGAGGTGGAGACCAGGGTGGAGGGTGAGGTGGAGACCAGGGTGGAGGGTGAGGGGGAGACCAGGGTGGAGGGTAAGGTGGAGACCAGGGTGGAGGGTGAGGTTGGAGACCAGGGTGGAGGGTGAGGGGGAGACCAAGCGTGGAGGGTGAGGTGGAGACCAGGGTGGAGGCGAGGTGGAGACCAGGGTGGAGGGCGAGGTGGAGACCAGGGTGGAGGAGAAGAAACAAATGAGTTTGGTCGCCACGGGCTGAATGGTCCAGCAAGTTAACCTCTCTGACCTCACACAGAGGGCGTTCCTGCTGGACGTCGGATTCTCGTTTTATTTCACACTGATGGTGTTTTTGTTGTTTTTTTCCTCTCTTTCTTTCTTTCTCTTTCTCTTTCTTTCTCTTTCTTCTCTCTTTCTCTCTTCTCTCTCTCTCTCTCTCTCCTCCTCTCTTCTGCTCTCTCTCTCTCTTCTCTCTCTCTCTCTCTCGTCTCTCTCTCTCTCTCTCTCGTCTTCTCTCTTTCTCTCTCTCTCGTCTTTCTCTCTTTCCTCTCTCTCTTCGTCCTTTTTGTCTCTATCCTCTTCTCTTCCACTCTCTTCTTTCTCTTTCTCTCTCCTCTCTCTCCTCTTTCTCTTTCTCTCTCTTTCATCTCTCTCTCTCTTCTCTTCCTCTCTCTCTCATTTCTCTCTCTCTCTCTCAATTCTCTCTCTCTCATCTCTCTCTCTCTCTTCTATCATTCTCTCTCTCTTCTCTCTCTCTCACTCTCTCTCTTCGTCCCTCTCCTCTCTCTCTCTCTCTTTCTCTTTCTCTCATCTTCTCTCCTCTCTTTCCTCTCACTCTCTCCTCTTTCTCTCTTTTCTCCTCTCCTCTCTCTCTCTCTGCTCTCTCTCTCTCTCTCTCTCCTCTCT